GATAAACGCTGCTTCCCTTTTGTTTGATTGGATTGAGTGGTTAAAAGAATCTAAAAAATATTATATTTTCTGTAAATAAAATGAGTTTATTTATGTTGGGTAATTGGGTTGATATGACATGTCAAAATGAATATGACAAGAAACGTGATGACTGAATATGTATATATTTATTTAAAAAAATCTTATATATTTTTACTCATATTTCATTGTAGACTATAATTTATTGAATGAACATGGTCTGAGATAATCCATACTATTGAAGATCCGAGTCTATTACCACTAACCAGTAACCACCATAGTACAATTAAAGCTTCTTCTTTAGCGGAGCAATTATGACCGACACGTGGTTGATGATTCAAGCCTTCAATAACAAATTAATTAATCATAACTATTATAATTACTCCCCTTGTAAAATGGTAGTTGAGAAACAATCTTGGGTAGGTACACCTCATTCAATATTCTAAGGGGGTGATTGGATATGAATTCAACTAGTAAAAAACTAGTTATTTTGTAACTATAGTTAAGTTTGAAAAAAGGTGGTATGGTTAGTTGTTAGTGAATATATTAAAATAATATTTAAAATAAAATAATTAAAGTTGATTTGATGTAAAAGTAGGAGAAAATGATTGGAAGTGATAGTTAGTTAAAATTATGTGAGTAGATGAATAGTGAATTAAAGTTGATGTGATGTGTAAGAATGATTGGTTGATATTATTTAATTATATTGATAATATTGAAGATAGTGGAGTTGAGTTAAAGTTGAGTTAAATTTGAGTTTTGATTGGTTTTTTTACTGTACAATTTGTATCCAATCATCCCCTAAAAGTTTTACTTTTTAGGAGTCCTAAATTGTAAATTGTCCTTGGAATCATCTTCCCCCTTTTAAGCAAATATGTTAAAAGAGTTTAAAAAAAAAAAAAAAATACAAGACTTGCCCTTCTGACATTTAGTAAAGGCCTAGCTTCTTTGTGGTGAAAATTTTCTGCTTACACATTATGTATGTGGAATTGTGGCCCTAATATTTCTCATGGCCCCTTACATATCGTGGATTTTATTTGGGGCCCCTATTAGATTGGATATATGACAATTGTGCCATGTTGATGCTAGTGAGGCAAATAAGATAGGGACAATGTGGTTACTATCTAGGTCAAGAGGGACTGTTTCTGTCTGTGTCTTGAATTTTACGTATTCGTCTCGATTTGGCGGAGGTGTTGATGGAACACAAAGTTTCTCAATTTTAGTTGTATTCGGCTTGTCCTTATATTTGATAAGATCGAGTTAATTACTCGCCGATCCTTTTAAAATTATTCGGAACAATGATCCATGAAGTCCATTTTTGCTATGTCAATCTATTCTTCTTGTTTGCAAAATCATGGAAAAGAATACATGGCACCGACAAAAAGTGTCGAATTTTAGAGGACAATTGTGTGTGTTTTACTTTTTGTATTTCTCTTACATAGTATTTTTTTTTTTTAATTTCTTTCTTCCCGTGTAAGGGCCTCGGAGGGCCCTGGACATGCCACAAAACACCGTTCACCACTCGGGAAACACATTGGCCCCTTCTTCATATGATCAACACATGATAGATTACTTAAAGAAAACATATTGTACCATATCTTCCCTCAATAATCTATGATATATATATCCTCACAACAACAAATAATGTCCTTTGTGTTATTAGCTAGTGTCTACTTTACTGTGTGACACTTAAACCCATCTTTTTGTCTAAACTCTACCAAATCAATAATTCATCATATCTCAACCACTCATGTTGTTAAACTTTCAAAAACACTTAGTAACTAATAATCTATTATACAGTTTTGCTTTGATTCCAACAGTTAGCTCCATAGTGAAGTCAACCTTCTATATACAACAAGTAAACCATACCAACCGTACCATATTTCATGATTACTTAAATAAATGCTAGTAATTTTATTAATGTGGTATGGTATACTTGTTATATATAGAAGGTTGGCTTCATAGCAAAACTATAATTATATATATGTTAAAAGAAATCCTTAACCAACTTATTTATTATTATTTACTATACTCTATTCGCAATTTTACCAGATTCTACGCGTCGGAAGTGGTAGTAGCCCTAGAGTACCTCCACATGCTAGGCGTCGTGTACCGCGACCTCAAGCCCGAAAACGTGCTCGTCCGCTCGGACGGCCACATAATGCTCACCGACTTCGATCTCTCCCTTAGGTGCGACGACTCGACCTCAACTCCGGCCCAACTCATCCCCACTCAGGGCCCGCCCAACGGGCCTCCAATCAACCGGCCCAGGCCAGATGGGCCCGCTTTCAGCCAGGCCTCGTGCATCCTCCCTAACTGCATCGTCCCCGCAATGTCGTGCTTCCACCCTAAACGGGCCCGGAGGAAGAAAACGAGCCGGAGGCACGCGGGACCCGAGTTCGTGGCCGAGCCCGTTGATGTTCGGTCCATGTCGTTTGTCGGGACCCACGAGTACTTGGCGCCGGAGATTGTCTCGGGAGAGGGCCATGGGAGCGCGGTCGATTGGTGGACGTTGGGAGTGTTCATATTCGAGCTCTTCTATGGGGTGACCCCATTTCGCGGGCCCGACCACGAGGTGACCCTGGCGAACATCGTGGCACGGGCCCTGGAGTTTCCGAAGGAGCCCGTGATTCCGGGCCCGGCGAAGGATTTGATAGCGCAGCTGCTGATAAAGGACCCCGGGAGGAGGCTGGGGTCAACGATGGGGGCATCGGCGGTGAAGCACCACCCATTCTTTCAAGGGGTGAATTGGGCGCTGTTGAGGTGCGCGTCCCCACCGTACGTGCCTGCGCCCTTCGATAGGGATGTTTTGTCTGAGGAGAGCTGTCCGGATACGCCTGTGGAATATTATTAGTGGGGATAAAAGGAAATTGCTTTGTTTTAGGACTTTTGGATTGTTTTTATGTATATAAAGATCGGGGTCTTTTTAATATTCGCGTAATTGGTATTCTAGTAATTAATTGGATGAATTTATTTGCTCTTGATAACTACAAATTTTTATTTATTTATGTTTTTAAATTCTTTTGCTCGTTCACGTATTTATATTATAGTTTACACGGATCTTGTAATTACCTTCAAAATAAAGTTGGATGATTTTCAACCAAGCTATTCGTACGCCTTTGCCAAAAGAAGAAATCTCGAGCTAACCAACGACTTGATGAGGTTGTAGCTACTTGAAACGAGACTCCATGGGGTGCTCGAAGAATAGTTTGGGATCTTCGTTGAGATACATGTGCGGGCTAACTAATGAGGCTGACACACCTTTCATTTCTAACATAAATAGGGTCTTGCTATGTTTTTATATTGACAAATAATCGATTTTGGTTCGCTAATTTGTCCATTGTTCACTTTTGGTACACTATCTTTTCTTTCATAAAAAATGGTCCATTATATTACATTTTTCATCAGTTTTAGTACGCTACTCCAGTTTGCGGGATTACAAGATGACGTGGACTGAGATTGGAACTACGCGAAAGGATAAGATATTGACGTGGTAGGATAAAAACCTGATTTGGCATCTCGTAATCCCGGGCCACGGGATTAGTGTACTAAAACTGATGAAAAGTGTAACATAATGGACCATTTTTTATTAGGGAAAGATAGTGTACCAAAAGTGGACAATGGACAAGTTAGCGGACTAAAATTGAATTTTTGCCTTTTTATATTCATCGTTATTGTTCTTTCTTGAGATTGTTCTAACACGTGCGTATTTACAAATGCGCATTTCAAGAAGATGCAAGTCCCCAAGAACGGGGAAAATAGTCAAAATACTCAGGTCACTGCGACTAACAATTCTAAGCCCATCCTCGGGAGGGTTAAAGCTTCCACAGGTTGCGGCTCATTTGGTCCCCTTAGCCAAATTTCTACTTGACCTGCTCCTCAGGGTCCTTCGACCTCTAAAAAGAGGACACTTGAGCCCAAGAAGACCAAGGTCATTCTTTTTTCCAAGAAACGAGCTACAGACTCTCGAACCAAGTCACCCGATGGGCCTCAACAAGGGCCATCGAGCCACACCCTAACTTTGTAACAACCTTCCAAGCTTTCCATGAATGATGATGCAACGGCTATTTCAACCTACCTCATTTCTGCATTTCCAGATAGGGACATGCGTCGGTTGGGGATCATGAATTTGACCGAAACTGCTACACGGCCCACCACCTGGCAAAGGTATGCACTTTATCTCAATGATTTTAGGTATTTATAGTTGTCAAGTATATACATTGCCTTTGTGTGTTTTTCATGTAGTTCCAGTTGGGGTTCTATGAGGGTTGAGCACTTACGGCTTAAAATTGTTGCAGACTCTGAGACAACTACAAGGCCTACAGGACCGGATGGATGTTCAGAGATGATCTTCTCGCCTCGTCATCCTTCTAGTCAGTTCGTCTTGCGGGGATCATCGGATGCGTGCATCGATTGCCAAATCGTCGTGTTGTGCGTGGTTGCGGCTGGTTGCAACGTGCATTGTGCAGGTTGTTCGACTGCGACAGGAAAGCGCCGTGTGCGACTGTGGCTGTGGTGGTCACTCGACAGCTACGACTGTGTGTGACTGTGGTGGTCATCGGGCGGCTGTGGCTGCAACTCGCAATAATCGCATGTGGAGCTGTCAAAACAGCCCGCGGCCCGCGGATTGGGCCTTAATTTTCCAGGCCCGCCAAGGAGCGGGCCTACGCAGGATGGCCCGCGCGGGCCACGGGCTGAGGTGGGGTGGGGCGGGCCGGCCCGCTTAATTAAAAAAATAATAATAAACACATATATATTGGATGACCTAGATCAATTAATTAAAATGCTAACTTAAAATCTAAACCATTGAGATGTTATATTAAATAGGTCAAGGCAAAAACACACACACTTACACATAGTTTGCCCTATCCTCTCTTCCGTCGCCTCCATTCACATACTCTGCAGAAATTCTGTCGCTTCCATACGTTGACGCTGCACACATCACACGAGATTCTCAAGTCCCAGTGTGGTCACAACCTCTCGTTGCCTCCGCCCACGCCTTCCCCATCGTCTCCACACGCGGCGAACAATCTCTTTCCTCCGATTCGCGGTCCTTCGCCAACGCCTCCGCCTCCAGCCTCGGTCACCTGCGTCGGCCTTCAAAAACCACCTCCAGCCTCTGCCTCCAATTTTTTTAGGATTTTTTTTTTAGTTTGCAGCCTTTTTTATTAAGTCTACAGGCATGAGGCAACAAGTTTTTTAAATTAAGGCCTATAGGCAATTTTTAAGTCCAATTTTTTTATTTTTTTATTTTTTTTCAGATATAGAACATGGCCCAATCCAACCCAAGCCCAGTTAACACAAAAAAAAGGACTGTCCCGCCAAGCCCGCGGCGGCGGGGCGGGTTGGGCAAGCTTTTCACTGGCCCGCCCCTCCCCGTCGGCCCTTTTTGACAGTTCTAGTCGCATGAAATGCACAGGGTCGCGCAGTTGGGATTGGTGAGGATCTCAATATGTACAAGTCACAAATTCAATAATAACAATAAACCTATGCGCCACGGATCTAGAGGTTTAGAGTTTAATACTTACGGCTTAAAATTCACAGACTCTGAGACGTAGTAGATTACCATTGAAGGATATCATCTGATCTCAAAATTCGTCGGGTAGCCGGATTCTTCTCTTCAGACCTCGAGAAGTAGTCGGGAGCCTCGGTCGGGAACACGCGGGTTGCGTCGGGCGGAGTCGCTGGAGTGCGCGAAGATCGCGGGGCTGCAGCGGACGTGCGGGATCGATGGGACGCGTGCGCTGGTCGCCAGGCTGCGGAGTCGTCGCGAATAGCTGCATGCGGGCTATGACGTCGGGTGCGCCTTACGTGAGGCTGGGCTGCGGTGTCTCGCGGTCGTCGTCGGCGTGCGTGGGCTGCGGCGGTCGACGTTGGTCAGCGGTGGTTGGTCGGCCGGCGATCACAGGGTTGATCGCCGGTTGATGATCACGGGGTCTTGATACATCGGGATCTTCAACTGTATATCTCAAACACCTCTTCGTATTGTACCGGTGGAACAACAACACGAAGATAAAACTCGACTATGGGAACCAGAGAGAGAGAGAAGGGGGCAGCCGAACGTGTATCATGTTAGGTTGCTTGTGTTCTCAATCCTATGAGCTTAATGATGTATATATAGAGCTACAGTAGGGATCCTAAGGAGATGATGATTAGGGATGCTTAAGTATTGGGCCTAACTATGAGCCAATCCCACTCTTGCTAATACTTAAATAATACTTCGGTCCACTAACGATTATATTATTGAACTCCTTTATCCTCCTCAGAATTATATTCGAGACTCCAATTATAATTACTCGAATTACCTCTCCATGTTTAAGATAATAATGTTCATTAATTAATTCAATTACTGATAATAAGAATTAATCAATATATTAAAACACCACAGCTAGCGCCGTTAATTTCATTATTATTTATGTCGGAACTTAATCCACCTGCAGGGTTTAGCATAACAATCTTCATGAACTCACTTCGAGGACATCATCAAACTGTCGCACAGGGTGACCGTAAATATTCTAACATCTCATCGTACATATAATAATATTATTCAAAACAGCAAGTATGTCGACTCAGTAAACTGAATCTCACTTTAGTGAATCAAAGTAATAGTTACCATATGTACATGCCTGTTTATATCTTACGGGGCAGTAATTAACCGAGACTTAAGTTTGTTTACGACGATCAGTATAAAATGAACACTTACTTCTGGGTTTCTGTTCAATACATAAATGTACTAGTGCAACTAATCCGTCAAGACCAAACGTACAGTTGACACTACAACCGTTCTGATGGTTTGTTCATTTCCACCTAGGTTGTGAACCAACAATTCTTGTTTCACAATTAACTGATAGAATGATCTTCTGTTCACCCGATGATGACCCATTCTATATAAGTGCAAGACAACATAACATATAACTTGTTTAATCCAACATAATTCTTATTCAACAAAGATAAAGTGTAATATCATCCAAAGTCAAGCTTTCAGTATATAACACCAACACGTGCGACCTCTTATTACCTCGAGACTTATGTCGTATGACCTCTTATTACCTCAAGCTTTCATCCAAAGTCAAGCTTCGATTGTATTACCTCGAGACTTATGGGCATACTTGAATCAGTCTTCCGAATGAAACCACTCTGCTCATACTTGAATAATATTTCAGTTCACTAAAAAAATATTATTGCACTAAATAAATAAAGAATTTTAATATGAGGATCAAATTTATAAATGCACATTGAATCCTATTATTTGTCTAAGGAAACAAACACATCAAACAAATTATGAAGATAATCTTATTTTTGAGTAATCAAAGATAACAAATGTAAGTGTAATCCTGTATTTACAGTCTAGTCTTGGATCCCTAGATAAAAATTATCTAATCCAATCTTCCTAAACAAAGGCGCTCATAGGATTATACCTTTGTACTGAAATTGTCGTCGGCACCCCTGATTTCTTGCAAGATTTGTTTGGAAGCTCATGTTTCCTTGCAATAATTATGATGTAAACAACGGTAGCCACAAGCGAAACTTCGTTATCAGTTTGTTTAATTCGATTAGCACAAAGTCAACAATATTGGCTTTTTGTTTATGTCGTGAGATGTCGGAAATGTGCGACAAGGACAAGCATGGCAATGCATGAGAAGGCCGTCATGGCACGCTACATGTAGCTGGGATTGGCTGTTTATCGTCTGGATTAAGTTTTGTTAATCTTCAATTCTTCATCATAATCTCAGTCGCACTAATCCCCTTCAGTCAGTCAGATAATCTTTCTTGAATCAACTCAATCATCCTTTGGATATAGTCACATGCAAGAAGTCTAGACTATTCTCTATATTAATTCTGATTTATCACGTGTATACAATTTGTACTAATTATTTTATAGGGATCAGATTTTTCACCTAGTCTAACTTTGGAAACCATTTTTTNAAAGACACCCAAATTTTTATTTGCTCCCAAAAGGACAAAATAAACATATTTGCACATCTAATTTTCGGTAACTAATATTTAATGTAATAAATACACAGATAACTTCTAATAAACAAAGTAAACTTGTTAAAAATATACAAAGAATAGTGCCAATTTACGTTGTCATAGATCAAGTATTTGATATCTCTCATCGTAACTTACATATCATCTACACATATATATAAATAATTATATATATTAAAGTTAAAATATAATAGAACCTTGAATTTTCTGCCAAATTTTCTTTACTATAATTAGACAAGGCCACTGGGCCGAATTGGTGGAAAATTATATAACTGCGGACCTGCGGTCACATTTTCTCCCGAGTTGGCCAGGACACTTGCGTCATGTAACTGGGTTGTTTAGGCGGACCTATTGCTATTAGCCCGCAGACTAAACGGGCGGGTTGACGGGCCAGTCTACGGGCCAGGCCATATTAGAAAAATAAAAAATAAAAAAATCACTTCACTCGATGGTTTCATTCGGAAGACTGATTTCTGCATCTCGCCTGCTACTCCTCCCGACGATCACCTCCGGCAATCAATCGAAGGTCAGCGCCTGCTCCCCCTCCAACTTTCGCCCGTCAATCTTTTAGCCCGTTATTCAGGTAAATTGTCCGTTTCTTTTATGCTCCACCAGTTACCCTCCCTCTGCGCCACCTCCGCCGCCAGCCATCGCGAACGGCGGCTCCTCCACCAGACCTTACTACCCCTCGACCAAATCTCCTTCCTGCCGCCACCGCTATTTATGATTACAAATAAGACTTAAAAAAACCATTTAAAGACTAAAATACCAACGACAAGGTTGGGCAGAGAGCAGACCTTCATCCTAACTGTCCATTTTTTGTTCAAGGGAAGATAAGCAGCTCGAACCCTCAACAAAAAGACTTCTCAGAACAAAATTTTCGAGATATCTCAAATATTCTGCTCGTTGAAATCAATTGTTTGGTGCTGATACCTTTCTTTTTTTTTTTTTTTTTTTNTCCCTCTGCCGTATTCGCCGGTAAACCAACCCTTTTGTGTTATATAATGAGATGCAAAATATCTTCATTAATATATCTATGCAATGACTGGTTAATTTTGTTTCTTCCTACTCATTTTTTGTTGTTTTCAGCAGGTTTCTTTGGTAGGGGCATTCTGTCGAACACTTTGTGTTCCATTTACAAACTCCAGCCATGGATGGTAAACCTCTCTCTGTCTTCCTCTTCCTAATATCTCTCTCGTGTGTGTGCGTGTCTGTGCAAGTGTGTCGATTTATAAAATTATATCTGTTCTGTTCATCAGTTTAATAGAGTAGATTGTGGAATCTGTGAATAATTCGATTTATAAAACTATTTTTGTTTTTTTCTTGTGAGTACATATGCAGTCTAGTCTAGTAGCTTTGACAGTATAGAAATTATGTAGAATCTGTGTTTTTCTTGCCATTTTTCTTGGCATAGTTTGATTTTTATTATGCTTATTACGTGATTTAGTGGATTCGAAGCCGATGATGGAGGAGACTATTTTAGTGGGCGATGATCTGATGATGGGCCCACCATCACCACTCATCCCACCGGAAATAGCATCCCACGTGCTCGAGGGCGTAGACTTGTGTGATGGAATTTTGCGTAATCTCTTCCTCTGTAAGTCTTTCGTGTCCAAAACTTGGATTATCTTTCGCATATATGTTTTTAGAAACCCAAAATTGCCCGTTCATGTTTCTATTGATCATTTTCATGACAGGCTTGCAGATTAACGACATCGAGCCTTTCTGTCAAGATGAGATTGCATTGTACCGGCACTGCGCAGAGAGGAGGGTGAGTTTTTGAAGATGAATTGTATGCTAGCTTTATTATATATCTCTCTCTTTAGTTTCTATTACTTTAACCTTTATTGGCCACTAAAAAGTGTTTTAATTTTGGGGGGGGATTTAGGATAAGGAACTAAGAGAGAGGCTTCAGGATAGCGAGAGGAAGTTAGGGATGTCTATGCCTTTGGAGCTAGCAAAGGAAAGATCGAGTCAATTGGAAGCTGAGACCACACAGTTGGAAAGGTACTCCACCTGACGACGAGTACGTTTTTATAAAATCTTGAGTTTTTTGACGGGCTAAAGATCTTATGAACTCTGATTGGTAAAATATTTTGATCTAGGATTAATTAGCACGATTATTTCATTTTTCTGATGAGTTACTATTTTTTCCATTCTATTTTGAATTTCTTGGTAAATCTTATATATTTTATATTCTTCCTTAGGACAATCATCTAATAGTTACTGTCTCGTACATGCTCCATTTTACCTCCATAAGCAATATGCAACTGTGATTGAAATGTTGCAAGCATAGTTGATCTGATTACTGTCCATTGCAAATGGTGCTGTTAGAGTCATTGTTGACAATTCTCCTGGCATAGTGCTAATAATGGCATAGTGCTAATAATGGACTAGATCAAAATGGCTCTTCTATTAGTGAAGTTTCTAGGAAAAAAAAAAATATATATATATATATATATATATCAAACGGCGCAATGCACCTTGGGTCGCTACGGAAAGAGCCTCCTTGTATAATTACAAGGGTAAGGTCTGCGTACAATTGACCCCCCAGACCCCAACCTGTTGGGAATATACTGGGTATGTTGTTGTTATTGTTGTTATAGTTGATCTGATTACCGTGTTAGATTTACTAAAAAAATGCTAAATTCTTGAAGACGGGTGATTTTGGCGAGTGGAGTTGAAGGCATGGAAGGATTCAGACAGAGATGGAGCCTCCATGGTCGTCTTACTGATACAAAGTAAATCCCACATCATCCCTGTTTACACTTTCATTTGACTCATGATTTGGTGTTCATATGCCAATCTACAATTTATATATTTTTTGTATGTAAGTCCATGATATCATGCATACTGTTGTTTGTGTTTGTCGTATAGGAGTCGGTTGGTAGCCCTGAAGCAAGGTATGGATAACAGAAAGAAAGATGAACAAGATGAACAAGCTGGAGAATTAACTACTAAGAAAAGATGGTTTTTCTGGTGAAAGATGGAATTTTTCCTCATTTTGTAGAAGCATTTTAGTCTTTTGCTCCAACTACCAAGAAAAGATGGTTTTTCTGGTGGAAGATGGAATTTTTCCTCATTTTGTAGAAGCATTTTAGTCTTTTGCAGTTTCATGCTTGGGGAATTAATTTAATATCTTGCTCCTACATCAGTACTGGTCCGAATTTTTCATTCTTTTTAAGTTATCTTGTGATGTTATATGCATTATGCAATCAACACAAACTTCTTGGATGGAAGTGAGATTGTAAAGTAGCAGAAAGCCATAATCTTTTCTTACGCAAATGATTCACTACTCAAACCTCTCATTTTTTCGCTTTCCAATTTTCTCAAGACAAGTTTTAAAACAAAATTCAATTATTACCATACCTCTACAATATTTGCCATCATTCAATTGCCTATTTCAAATTACCAATCATTGTTTCACGCTATGTTAGTTATTGTGTTTTCATTTGACATTACAAAAATAATCAATTCTTCTTCCAGATCTTCTGTCTTGAATCAAACCTATGTAGTAACAAATTGGCATGTTAATCAGGTGACAGGAAAAAAAATGATCACTACACCAAACACCACTCAAAATTTACGATTAATGTGAAGACGTGCTTCAGTTGGTGAAGAATAATTAGACCCATTTAGATCCATCAAACCCACTGGACTTGTTATATGATATGAAATATGTTAATGCATATTTTTATCAAGAACACCAATATATTTATTAAAAAAGGAGAATTATGAAGATCGATGATCATTGAATACATAAAATTACTGCATTCTGTACATGTAATGTTGAATGTCAATGATCCATGAGAACAAAGTCAAACATACCCAGAAATTGATATTCGCAAATCATGCAAATATGAGTGATCAAATAAAAACAACAGGGATTAAACTATGAAGTTTGTTCTCACGCACGCCTGTATTCATCCCCACAGTCGCCGATTATTTTCATGAGATCTTTGCCTTTCCTTGAAACCTCTGAAATGCTGTTAAGGTCATCCTCATCAAGAACAAGGGAAAATATATCATTTGCATCGTTGATGTGTTCCGAAAGGCCAAGCCTAACACCTATCATTGACCCCGCCACTGCTTGCTGCATAATATTGCAAAGTGGTTTTAGCAAAATGCATCAGTTAATAC